GTTACCATTTGGTAACAAGAAATTACTTTGTTGGAGTGCAATTTTCTGAGACAAAGAGCATCTTTGTGAAGACAAAAACCAAAAATCCCATAATGACATAAAAATAAAAATAAAAAGAACGAGTTTAATATTGATGGGTGAGTTGGAAAGGAGGAGAGAAAGGGCGAGCATAGAGAAGGCATCAACCTCATTTGAACAAATTATTCAATTTTGCAGAAATTTGAGGAGATTTTGGAGCTAGTGAGCTAGAGGAGGAAGACAAGGGTAGCCAAGCAAGAAGGGGAAGAAGATTTCCACCATTGAAGACCTTGAGCTTCCATCAATTTCACAAAATCTGTAAACTTTCTAGTTTTATTTCGAATTTCTATTTAAAATAAGTAGAGGAACTAAACTCCATAGCTAGGGCTTAGGTTGAAGCCCTAAACATGAATACTCTATTGTTTTGCTGCCTAAGTGTATGAATTTCTAGATATTGTTGATGAATTCTCATTCACTAAATTAATCTATCCTTGATGTATGTTTTTCTTTGATTGATCATCTTTGAAAGCATGCTTCTTGAGTTTGTTAGGATTATATGTACCCTCATGTCTTCCTAAGCAACAAATGGATGAAGTAAGAATCATCCATGGGAATTAGTTTTTTCAATGCCTAATGTAAACATTATACTATTAGGGTTCTTGTGATGTTCATAGTCTCTTTGAACTTAATGGGTTTTTCTTGTAAGTAAATCGAAGTACTATGTACACCTAGATTGATTATAGGGAAGGCACAAGTATTCTAGCACTAGCCTGCTTATATTAGAGAGAATCAATGCATCTTGAGCCACTAGACCCGGTCTTAAAGCGAACATCTTCATCAACACATTTAGAGTTCATCACTTGAATGTCTATGAACATGGGTAGGATTATTTAGGGTGGATTCCAAAACCCTAGTGTTTGTTACATATCAATTTCACACTTTGATTTTCATCTGACTCTTCTTAGAATTAGAGTTCGGTTACATTCAAGCATTAGAATTAGGTCACTTGAATCAAATCAAACCCCCCCTCCCCCCAAATCGTGTGTGTGTCTGTTTGAAACGTTATATGTTTTCTTCACTAAATTTTGCTTATTTTCGTAATTGTTTTTTGACATTTGGTTAGTGCATGTTCTTCCTTTTTTAGTGCATGTTCTTCCTTTTTTGTGCATGAAATTTGGACGAACGGTTGGAAAGTTATAGGTCAAAAATTGGACAAAGGTCGAAATTGAAAAATAGAGAAACAAATCTGCTTAAAAATGATCGGTCGCCATTGTTCATGTGACCTGTTGCTTTTCATTTTTCATTTTAGTATGTGTTAAGTTCTTCCTTTTTCTGTGCTGAACCATATAAAGAACGTGAAATTTGGACAAACGATTGGAAAGTTATAGGTCAAAAATTGGCCAGAGGTCAAACGTGAAATTTGTGTTTATCTTTGGTTTCTTGTTTGTTTCTTTTCTTTTACCTTTCTTTACTCATTTTTAGTTTCCAATTTGTTTTGTGCTTTTGTGTTGTGTTAAATAAGTGCTCTTTACATACCCAAATTAAAACTTGTAGTAAGCCGACAGTTGCTCGTGGGATCGACCCCGTACTTACAAAATCTATACCTCAATAGATTTGTGCACTTGCCGATATTTTTAATTGGATGATTGCACATTAATTTGTGTCAATTAACAATACAACAACTCACAATATAAAGAATGTGAAATTTGGACAAATGGTTGGAAAGTTATAGGTCAAAAACTGGACAGAGGTCGAAACTGAAAAACAGAAAAACGAATCTGCCTAAAAACGACCGGTCGCCACTGTTCATGTGACCTGTCTCTTTTCATTTTTCATTTTAGTCCATGTTGAGTTCTTCCTTTTTCTGTGCTGAACCATATAAAGAACGTGAAATTTGGACAAACGATTGGAAAGTTATAGGTCAAAAATTGGACAAAGGTCGAAATTGAAAAATAGAGAAACAAATCTGCTTAAAAATGATCGGTCGCCATTGTTCATGTGACCTGTTGCTTTTCATTTTTCATTTTAGTATGTGTTGAGTACTTCCTTTTTCTGTGCTGAACCATATAAAGAATGTGAAATTTGGACAAACGGTTGGAAAGTTATAGGTCAAAAATTGGACAGAGGTCGAACGTGAAATTTGTGTTTATCTTTGGTTTCTTGTTCATTTCTTTTCTTTTACCTTTCTTTGCTCATGTTTAGTTTCCAATTTGATTTGTGCTTTTGTGTTGTGTTAAATAAGTTCTCTTTACATACCTAAATTAAAACTTGTAGTAAGCCAACAGTTGCTCGTGGGATCGACCTCATACTTACAAAATCTATACCTCAATAGATTCGTGCACTTGCCAGTATTTTTAATTGGATGATTGCACATTAATTTGTGTCAATTTACAATACAACAACTCACAATAAAAAGAATGTGAAATTTGGACAAACGGTTGGAAAGTTACCGGTCAAAAACTGGACAGAGGTCGAAAATGAAAAACAGAGAAATGAATCTGCCTAAAAACAACCGGTCGCCACTATTCATGTGACCTATCGCTTTTCATTTTTCATTTTAGTATGTGTTAAGTTCTTCCTTTTTCTGTGCTGAACCATATAAAGAACGTGAAATTTGGACAAACGATTGGAAAGTTATAGGTCAAAAATTGGCCAGAGGTCAAACGTGAAATTTGTGTTTATCTTTGGTTTCTTGTTTGTTTCTTTTCTTTTACCTTTCTTTACTCATTTTTAGTTTCCAATTTGTTTTGTGCTTTTGTGTTGTGTTAAATAAGTGCTCTTTACATACCCAAATTAAAACTTGTAGTAAGCCGACAGTTGCTCGTGGGATCGACCCCGTACTTACAAAATCTATACCTCAATAGATTTGTGCACTTGCCGATATTTTTAATTGGATGATTGCACATTAATTTGTGTCAATTAACAATACAACAACTCACAATATAAAGAATGTGAAATTTGGACAAATGGTTGGAAAGTTATAGGTCAAAAACTGGACAGAGGTCGAAACTGAAAAACAGAAAAACGAATCTGCCTAAAAACGACCGGTCGCCACTGTTCATGTGACCTGTCTCTTTTCATTTTTCATTTTAGTCCATGTTGAGTTCTTCCTTTTTCTGTGCTGAACCATATAAAGAACGTGAAATTTGGACAAACGGTTGGAAAGTTGTAGGTCAAAAATTGGACAGAGGTCGAACGTGAAATTTGTGTTTATCTTTGGTTTCTTGTTTGTTTCTTTCCTTTACCTTTCTTTGGTCATTTTTAGTTTCCAATTTGTTTTGTGCTTTTGTGTTGTGTTAAATAAGTGTTCTTTACATACCCAAATTAAAACTTGTAATAAGCCGACAGTTGCTCGTGGGATCGACCCCGTACTTACAAAATCTATACCTCAATAGATTCGTGCACTTGCGGGTATTTTTAATTGGATGATTGCACATTAATTTGTGTCAATTTACAATATAACAACTCACAATGTCTAAATCTCTCAGTAGTTGGCAGGCACTTTGTCTGTGGTAAGTGTTTTTCTCCTCTTTTCTTCCTTGCCCAAATACATACTGGTTTTGTGCATTTCAATGTCATGGTTGCTAATATAGAAAAGATGAACAAATGAATTAGCATCTCGAAATGGAAATAGTGGTTAAAGGCCAAAAGTTTCTACTTCTGGTTTGAGTCTAATTTGCTATGTTTTAATTTAACTTTGTCTATTGGATTTGGATAACTTGTTCTAATGGTATTGTAGGATGAATTCGGATCCTTTGCTTGGTTTGGGATACCATAACAATATGGGTGATTTTATTGGCACCCCATTAATTGCTCTTTACACCACATACTAATTTTAAATATAAATAACCTATTTTACCCTTGTACACAATTACCGTTAAGGACAATAAAAATTAAAATTAAAATTAAAATTGCTCACTACACCCCACATATATTCCTGCAACCCTAGTTTGTCTTTTTTCTCAAACTATTATGTTCCTAAACCCTAAACCCAAGATTTATAAGTTTATACTAGTGAAAAAATATATTGTATTTATTCCTGAAGGGTGAGATTGAAGTTCGAGATGCTTCGAATGAGGTACGAGTTTATTTTTTGGCGTTTTGCAAGTTTAGTATTTCATAACAGCCGCTGGTTGTGTTCAGCACATCAGTACCGAACGCGACAGATAATTTCGGTGGGATGTCACCGAAAAGTTGCACCTTTTTCGATCGGATTTCACCGGTGAGAAACTTAATATTCGGTGGGGATCCACCGTAAGATGGAACGTAGTTCAGTGGTGTACTACCGAAATTTTACCCGCGTTTCAGTGGCATCCAACCGAAATTTATTTATTTTTTCAGTAACTTATTGCCGACCACAAATTTAATCCAAGTTATTTTGATCTTACTCCCATTGAAGGAACAAAATCAAGGTGACGCCCCTACTGAAGGCAACAATGTGGGAACAGAATGTGTAATGGACTATAGTGATCAATTCACAACTTATTCGGTAATTATTTGTCTGAAATCCTTTGTAGTATCATTAACGTGGCATTAATGTTTCAAATTTTATATTTAAATAATATGAGTTTTATGTGTAGATATTCAATGGTAGAGATGCATTACTTCGATGGGCTCGTGAACAAGGAAAATTGAATAATATTGTCATTGTAATTAAAAGGTCTGATTATGGAGGTGAGGGCAAGAGGAGACCTCGTGTAATACATGCTTGTGAGAGGAACGGTAACTATAAGTCTTGCAAGTCTTGTGAGACAACTGATATAAGGTCGGATGCAAATAGTGATATGAAAAAATGTGCTAGGGACACTGGTACCAAGAAATGTGGATGCCCATTCTTGTTAAAAGGTGTCAATATTGGTGATGGGGATGATTGAAAGTTGGAGGTGGTTTGTGGAGTACACAACCATCCTATTTCAGAGTATCTTCAAGGTCATTCATTTGTGGGGCGACTTACTGAAAAGGAGAATGCCTTGTTGGTGGACATGTCTAAGAGTTTGGTGAAACCCAGAGATATTTTGGTCACCATTAAAGATAGAGATGCAATGAATGTTTCAACTATGAAGACAATATACAATGCTAGGATCCGAAATAGAACCAAAGAATTTGCTGGGAGAACCCAAATGCAACAATTGCTTACTAAGTTATCCGAACATAATTATATTGAGTGGCATAGGATATCTGGTGATATTGTAACTGACCTGTTTTGGACACACCCCATTAATATTGATATTTTGCGCGCATTTCCACATGTACTTATCATGGATTGCACCTATAAGACTAATAGGTATCGTTTCCCACTATTGCAAATTGTGGGGGTGACATATACTAATATGACATTCTCTGCTGCATATATGTATATGAATGCTGAGAAGGAAGACAATTACACATGGGCATTGACTGCGTTGAGGAGTTTGTTGGATGATAATTGTCTTCCTGGTGTTATTGTCACCGATCAAGAGTTAGCACTCATGAATTCTATTACGTCTATATTTCCGAAAGCACGACATTTATTATGTAGATGGCATATTAACAAAGGAGTGTTGGCAAACTGCAAGAAGTTATTTGGGACCCTCAAACAATGGAAGCAATTTAATGAGGATTGGAATACTTTGGTTGGTTCAGAAACGGAGGAGGAATATTGGCGTTGTTTGCGACAGATTGAGTCTAAGTTCAGTGAATTTCAAAAAGCTCTTGAATACATACATGAAAATTGGTTAAATCCATTTAAAGATAGGTTTGTGGCCGCATGGACAGACACTTGTATGCATCTTGGATCGACAACCTCAAATAGGTAAGTATTTTAGTCAACTTTTGATATGTTAATTTGAAAATTTATTTTGCTTCAGAAAAATTTATTATTGTTATCAACATAGCAGAAAGTGCACATGCAAAGTTGAAGCAACAGCTCCGCTCAAGCCAACTTAACTTTGAGAGATCATGGGTAACTATACACTCATTGTTAGAGCTGGAGCACACAGAGATTAAGGCATCTTTTGAAAAGAGTCGATGTTTTATTCAACATAGGTTCAAGCATCTGGAGTTGAGAGAGTTAGTAGGTTTTGTTTCTATAAAGGCTTTGAGTGTAATTGTGTGCGAGTTAGAAAGGTAAATTCAATTTACTTATTGCATGTACATATATGGTTTACAGAGTTAACATTGTACTTTTTTTGCAATCAGGTTAGAGATAGATGGGGTGAATACTTTGTCATGTGGTTGTGCTATTCGTCGAACCCACCAATTACCATGTGCACATGAAATTGCGAAGTATAGAGAGCATGGTGTACCAATACCACTTGATGTCGTGCATTCACATTGGAGGAAATTAGATATCATCAATATAGGAAACAGTAGTCATGGCACAACTTCACCAGGAAGGTCACAACTACAAAGATTCAATATGTGGTATGAACAACAAGATGGTGAGAAGAAGAGACAAGTCCACATGACACTGGAGGAGCTAATGAACCATGGTTCTACTGCGCTTACTGAACCAAAAGAGAAGTTGAAGACCAAAGGGAGACCGCGAAAAGTTGACACTTCTTCTCGTCGTTTGCCATCTGCATTTGAGATTGCTGAGGCCTCCATTGCTCTACCTAAAAATAAACCAAAGCAAAGTCTCACTGCCTCACTCAAAATAAAATCGAAGAAAAGTACCATTGTAGTGCCAAAAAAAAGAAACATGGTTGCTTCTAGTTCCATGTTGTCTAATCCAAAAAAATTTAATGTTTTATTTTACAATGTGTTATTACCATATAACTAATATTTTGTTTTATTTTCAACTCTATAAGCCTCGCGAAAACCAATCAGCGTTCGATACATATATGCATATAGAGAAATTCCTTGAGGGTATTAGGAAATATATCACTCACCAGACATGTATGTGCTCATACACCCATGCCTCCAGCAAAGTCATGTACCCAGCAATCTGCTTCACCTTAGACCTCGAAGCTTGGCCTAATTGTCTATACAACCATGCTAAGCACCCAGAACCCCATGAATAACCAGCAACACTATCAAGGTTTCTAAGTAGTCTAAGGTACACAATTTGGACTCTTGTGCCAGTCTTGTCAATAAACAAAGTGCAACCCAAGAGATATAGCAAATATGCTCTGGCCGAATACATGATGTACTCCTCTGAATCTGTGTCTGAAACATTGGAGAATCGTGCCCGTAACCATGACAAACTCACATACTCATCACTGTATTGGTGCAATTGTTCAGTAAACATATTTCGGTTGTGTTTGACTAGTCGTTAACTTAAGATGCGGTGGAGATCCACCGTAACATGGAACGGTGTTCGGTGGTTTATTACCGAATTTTTACCTACAATTCAGTGGCAACCAACCGAAATACATTTATTTTTTCAGTAACTTATTGTCAACCACAAATTTAATGTAAGCTATTTTGACTTTACTCTCAACGAAGGTAGATACAACAATTTTATCTACATTCATAAGTTGCTCTAATCCAGACCTCTGAATGTACCATTTGAATATACCATTGTTTGGATTAGCCCACCAATTCTACTTACGAAGGGTAGATGTTTTCGACATGCACCTAAGGGGCTCACATTCCTAGTTAAACAAAAAAAAAACAAAATTAAGGTTAGTTACCGTGAACCAGACTTATATTCTACCTTCTATTGTCACAGTAAAATGACTTACCTGGTTATTCCAAATTGCAGCTGCTATGTGAGTTTTAAAACTCGTAAGTAAATATGGATCAATGAGACCTATCTGAGATGGCTCAGTAGGCTCGGCATGTACCTCAACATTACTATCCTGAGTAGTAGCTACATCTTCAACCTCTATAGTATCCTCAATGTGATCTGGGGGAGCCGCTCTCTGTCTCCTCGCTGAGGCCGTGGGACGCTGTCTATTAGGTCGGGATGATGAAGCTTCCGTAGTACCCCTGCGAATCCTCTTCATATCTAAAAATAAACAATATTAAGTACACACTCAGTAACGTATTCGGTACATAATCACTAAAAAATGGAAATAAATTCGGTGGACAATCACTGAAAAAAGAATACATATCCGGTGGAGTACCACTGAAAAACCGAAAGAAATTTGGTGGGAGTCCCCTGAAAAATAGAAACAGATTCGGTGGACTACCACCGAAACAAGGTAACAATTTCGGTGGTAACCCACCGAAAGTACAGGTTTAATTCAGTGGACCACCACTGAAGAAATGTAATCATTTTGGTGGCAATCCACCGAAACTAGAATCCATTTTCGTAAAACCAGGTTCGAACTACCTAGAACCTTGAAATCAAAATCAAAATCAATATCAGACTTTGGCTTTTCAAAAGTGAAATCAAATGTAGGCTTAATCAACACTTAGAAACGTAAATATATAAATCAAATTTGAAATCAAACCTTGAATAAGGATTTGTGAGAACTTGACCTTCAATGGCTTTCGGGTTTGCAGAGATAAAGATGGGTGTGATGGTTCTGTTTCAGAGATGGTTTGGGTTTGCTGGAGGCGATGGCAAAGGGCTTCTTCGATGGTGAGCAAAGATCTGCGATGGCAAAGGGATGAGTTCTTCGATGTTCTGCGACGGAGGCGATGGCAAAGGGCTTCTTCGATGGTTCTGCGATGGAGGTTAGTGTAAATGGGATGGGGTGTGCGATAGGGTGTGTCTGCAAGAGGAGAGAATTTTCGGTGGGGTGTGGCTGGATATCAAATGAGGTGGGGTTTGATTTCAGATGGGGTGTGGCTGAAAGGGAATGGGGTTTTTGGTGGGTGGTTAGGGAATGGGGTTTATGAGGGCAATTTAGGGGAAAAAAAGGGGTTTAATGAGTAATTTGAAATTTTATTAAAATTTAGTGAGGTGTAAAAAATTATGGGGTGTAAAGAGTAATTTATGGGGTTCATATAGAATTTCCCTAACAATATACAAAGAAAAAAAATATTTGTTCGAACTCATTTGAATTGTAATGTTTGTTACCATAAAGCCAACCTCAAATTGTTGTAAATGAATATGCTTTGCAACTAGACCTGGCAAACGGGTCGTTTTAACAAATTTCGGGTCGTGTTCGTGTTAACCCGTTAAGTTAACGGGTTGACACGACATGACCCGTTAACTTAACGGGTGAAAATTATCAGACTCAAACACGACCCGTTACAATTTGCGAAAAACCCGCACGACCCGTTAAGAAGAAAAAAACAAAACAAAAAAACAAAAAAACCTATCGCCCAATGCTAACTCTTCTT